ACCATAATAATAATAAACTCTATGAGAATCACCAGAATGGCCATAAATAATAGTATCACGAAGACTAGTATTTGTATTTTCATCATCCTCAACCCATACAGTAGCTACATGAGACGCTGAAAGAGTATTAAAAACACTCTGATCAATTCCTGGGTCACATCTTATTTGTATACGATGATTGTGCAGGTTCGTCATATCACTTAAAAACTTAAAGAATTTACTATTTGGATTTACTTTCAAGAGTTCAATTAAAATAATCATAGTAGATTCAACTAAATTTTCTGAAATTTTCATGTGATTTTCAAGCTTATTTTCTGTGTCATAAAAATATAACTGCATATAAGAAGACGTATTATTTTTTGGCATAAATTTATTTACATAATGATATACTTGTCTTTGAACTCTAAATGTGTAAATACCTTTATATATTTGAAAAAATTCTTTATCATACTTCACACCAAACAAAGTGAACACAAAGTGATCATTATATCCACGTGACAACTTTTTGAATTTTATACATGTCAGCTCTTTAGAAGTAAATAAATCATATAATTCAGTTGGCGAATCTTATATAAATAGTTTACCTTTTCCATCAGAGCAACAAAAACCTTTACTTTCCCAATAGAATTTACGTGCACCACAATGTTTACAATAGTTGCATGTCGATAATACATATGCAGTAATTGGTATATTTAACAAATTAACACTTCCTTCTAGTTCGGAAAGATGAAAATTATCAATTTTTCATTCGAAGTAGAAGGCTCAGATTCAAAACGTATTATATGTTGATCAACTTGAGTAGCACCTAGATTATGATTTTCAGATACTCTAGGATCACTTACTCTTCTACGACGATCAATGCCCACAATTTGGTTTCGATTCCTCCTGTCCGCCTGTCTTTGACTTTTTTTGACGAACGAACGCATTATATGATTCACTTGTGCTTTCGTGAACGGTTTCAATGTTACAAAAACTAGGCAATTGATTTGCAGATGGCTCCGAAGAATCCAAAGGCACAAGAAAATGCTCGTACCTAGTACTAAACTAACTATAAATACGACATAAAAAAAACACATTAGATATATGCATTTGAATTAGAAAGCACAAATATATATTACACAAAAATTATAATTTATTTATTTTGACGAAATAAATTCTATACAGCAATACATCACAATTTTACACATAATCTCAAACTCTCTACATTTGTTCTTCGTCCCCTATAGGATAAAAATATACAATCGTCTAACATACATAGAATAAAAATATAGAAATTCTACCACAACAACAAACGACTGCAAAATTAACAAAAAACTGTCAAGCTGAAGTATGTAGTATATATACATATATAAATATTTAAGTAATGTACATGCATTTCATGTTATATGTACACGTGGAAAGAGGGAGAAGAACCCATTTATATGGATGATTTGCTGTGCTTAAATAAAATGAGCCTAAAATTTTAGTTAACAGAAATTGTAAGTTTCCTCCCTTTGATTGTATTTTTTGGAGAAAAATTCATGAAAAGTAATTTGTAAGTAAAAAAATGAGTTGATTTTTCTTTTTAAATTTTTTCCCTAATATTCATTTGGCCTTTTTTGAGTAATAGTTGAACATATGACTATTTTAATTGAAAATAGTGTTCAGCTGACAAATATGATGCGACAGTGAAATGCACTTATAAAACCTCATTTCCTGATAAACTCTCATGCCGTTTTTGAATTGAATGGAACAATTAGGAATCATAATTTGTGAAAAATTGAATTGAAATCTGGATTGAATCATAACTTGTTCCAATTATGAAGCCAGTTTAAACCATCAAATGTAGAAGCCGAAAAAAATATCTTCAATATTAAAGGAGAATGGAGTCAGATATCTATGGAGTTTACATTTCTTATATTTCTTTTTAGTGTTTAATTAATGTTTTGAATGTGGAAATCTTATTTTAGGTTACCAAAATTTCCTACTATTCCTTCTCCTCAATCCATTCTTAGTATCTTGTATCCTTTCTCATTGCCAACTTCTTCCTACCATGAGAGATTTCATCCTTCAAAATGACTACCGCATTTTTGTTGATGAAGAAGATACTTGATACTTAATGATATCTACTATCATTGAAGTTATTTTGCACTCACACAATAGCAAAATATACAACAATTGTGCTAACCAGATTGAATGAGTCTTAGGGAATGTCTAGGATCTTATTATTATTATTATTATTATTATTATTATTATTATTATTATTATTATTATTATTATTATTATTATTATTATATAAAAGAGTCAAATCACTTTGCATTATTATAAGTATTACTACTTTTGCAATTCTATGATTCCATATATTTTATCTAATGTATATTCCTTTTACGTTTTAGTCATTTCCTTTTCCAAGTTTGTTAAGGGATACATACAACATGATAGTACTGAGTTCAATAATCGTGTGTCTAACTCAGGAAGTTGAAACTATTCCATGAAATCATTGTTGCTTCGATCATATTGGGTAAGAATATCTAAAAAAAAGGTAGATTATGGTTGAGTAGCAACGCTTGGATATGCCTCAGAGGATTGGTTTGGAAATGAAAGAGAAAGGCAAGAAGAGGAGTAGGAGAGAGAGGGCTTGAGAGTTGACCTCGGTACTAAAAACTCTAGTAGCCTTAAAGTAAAAAAACATTGGGTCTATAAATCAAAGATCCTTAAAATGATTTACTCAAAATCCCCAAAAACAAATGAAATCCTAAAACCCCTACATATGAAACCTTACCTAACAAAAATCACAGCACTCAAAAAATGTCTCAGGTTGAAACATTAACTTCAAAAAAACAGATTTATCAATATAAGAAAAAAAAAAGAAGAAGCAAAGTTCAAAACATAACATCCATACACACATAAAAACGATTTGTTTTCCATTATATGATTTAAAACAATTAACTATATGTTATATTTTCAAAAAAATATTTCAAAATATTCAGCAAAATGAAAATAGATTTTAAGAAAATCAATCTATAAAAACCCTAAAAAGAAAATTCAACTGAGCACGACAGCATTGAAACCAAATATGAATTTCTTTTCTTTTGAAATGTAATAACAAAAAATCAAACTTTTTTTTAACTAAAATCAGATCCCATTAAATCAAATAAGCATAAAACCATTCATTTTCCACTATAGACCTAAAACAATTAAAAATTACATCAAAAACCAAATTATCATTTGGAAACCAGCAGAACAAAAATTCCCAACTTTCTTTTCATAATTTCTAGAAATTTGCGTAAAAGAATTGGGTCAAACAATTCATACCTCGCTCGTCCTCGTTGTCGTTGCAATTATTGAATTTGACCTGAATTAATTTTAATACCTACCAAACAAGGGCAATATATCCACACGATTTTTATATATTTATCTCATTCTAAATATATCCATATTACAATTTTAAAAAAGTACTATATCAATCTCTATTACATTCCAACAAACTCATAATTTGATGCAAGGGTTGAAAATAAAACTCAATAATAGAACTATGACTCATTTCAATTTGCAGAGATCACCTTGCAAACGTGAGCTTGGGCTATGTTAACTTTCTATTATTAGTACAATAGAAATGTCGATATTTTTTCTTCAATCCAAAAGAGCTATTTCTCTCCTTACCTCTAGAATTTGATTTATTGGTGGCAAAATGAATGGTATGTCTCAATTTATTTGAATATGAGTTGAAAGGAGGAACATCAGATTGGATATTTAGGACATCAATGATCCTTCTCCCTTGAATTTGCATAAAATGTCAAATTAACTTTCTCCACCTCACTTGGCATAAGATATTCAACATATTCATTATTTTTTCCATCTAAGGATAGTGTCTCAACCTGATAAAAGACCAAAAGTTGCTTGTTCAACCAATAAACTCAGTTGTTAAATTCTAAACATAATTTTCAACAGCAAAGTTTATACATAAACTCAGTTCAACATAGTTGGCTACATAAAAGGTGCACTTTTGAGTAAACAATTAATTGATCAAAATAGGAACTAAGTTTCTTATTTTGTCAGTAAAGTGAGAGTTATTTTCACAGTAAGTAACTTTTACTTAAAATTAAGCAGAAGTAACTTATCCAAACATGTTTGTAAACACATTTTTACATATTTTTAAGCAAGGTTAACGATGCTCTTAATCTCCTTTTATTTTTAGCTGGAAGTTGAAACATGAAATTTTTTTTCGATAAATGTATGATATAATAACGTGCCAAGAATAAATTTCCTAAATAATAATCAGCTGCAACTAAAAAAAGCAAATAGAAGACAAACCTATGCTTGCTTCTGAATCAAATGGTCAGTCAATTGATCGAGCCTTTGGCTGAGCTGAATTTTCAGTTCAGTTGGATTCTTGAATTCCCTTTAATTGTTTCAATGTTTGTTTGCAGTGCCTTTATTGGCATTAGTCGAGATAATTAGTTTTCGATAACTGCAAATTAAATATACTGTTGAAAGTATTGTTGGTTTAGTAATGGGTAGGGGAAAGGAAACAATGAGTGGGCTGGCAGTCACAAGAGAAATACTTGCAACAAATTCCTCGTACTACTCACTGAAATCTTTCACATAAGAATGAGTCAATAATATGCAACCAAATTAATATGATTTAGTTGAATCGACAAGTGGAATTGTTTAGTTACTTAGTGGCATGACATCATATTGATATGTTTGTAGGCTGCACTGGACTGGACAACACAATATAAGATTGAGGTAGAAAAGTAAGTTAAAATATTGCATATTACCTAGTGCATTACTGTCCAATACTGCAATTTCATATACAAGTTTTGGCTTTAATGTAGACATGGAGTTACTGGGTCATAAACAGCCTTCTCTGAGGGATAGAATACTATACCTTTCTCATCTACAAATCTTACACACAATTTATTCATTCATGTTACAAATATTACGAAATTGAACGGATCCACCTGATATATGATAGAATCAATACCATGATAATCCTAATGTTCAAAATATAAGCCAGATTAAGAAGCACATTCTATATTAAAATTTGTAATACACTGAACAAGATATATGATAGTTCTACAAAGATTCGTATACTTCCAGGACAACGTCAAATATACAAATAATGTTCAATAGAAAAGGAAGTATGTCACCTTTACTTGTTCCACTTTATTAGTTACAGTAATACTTTGCCTTAAGCATCTTCCTTTCAAATTCGACACGTTTTGAAGCCACCAGCTACAAGCCATTTGCATGGAAAATTAGTTGAGAAGATATAAGGAATATTCTGACTAAATGAAGAAGCAAAAGATGCTTACGTTGTCCCATTTTTGACGCGTAGCTGATATTTTCATTCTCAATTCTACAAGAGGAAACAATATATCTTAGTAACTAAGCTCTATTTGTCAATAAAAATTGTCTATTTGCTTCACAAAGTTAAATATGTCAAAACATAGATGAAACGCTCAACAATCTTTCAGGGTTTCCCCATTAGTGATAATTTTCTAGAACAACAATACAAGCTGAATGCTAAAAATGGTGCCATTGCGTACTTATTTATCTCATAATTAACCAGAGTACTCCGCATATGCATATTGAGTATTGAATAATAAAATATAATATCCATTATATACTGACATTAAGTTCAACGCTAAACTTCAAGGATGTTAAAATAAAATGAAAATGTTGGATCGTTCGAAACAAAAATAAAAGCACAATAGCTCTGAGCAGTCAATATGAAGTGCAGGAAAATTGGAAAAAGAGAATTAAATGGTCTCTGCCCAAAAAATAAAATTTGATGTACCATACTACAAGTTCTTTGGAGTGACAAGCCTCTGGGTTACCAGGGCACATTCAAACAAGTCATTCTGGCACGGATAGATAAGCACACATAAGACAGGAACTAAAAAGAGAGGCATAGAAACTAAAGTTACTTCCCAATTAAGATACGAAAAGCACGCTTCTATCAGTTCCTACTTTGAACTGAATCTTTTGACAAAGTTTAGCGATATGATCAGCCTAGTCCACCATGCACAAAATCATTAGTATATCAATTTGCTATCATGCTACCATATAGAACCATTGTACAATTTCAATTCAATCATTTCTCAAGGTCGATTTTGAAACCATATTGAACAAGTAACACTAACTTCCCAATATGCTGATAAATTACTCGCTTATTGATACTTAGCTATTGAGCAAAAACTTAAAACAAACATGAAGAAATAAACATAATTAAATAGATCTCCAAGTCCTCCTTTAGTCTAGAGTGTTCTCAAGGTATTCATGGATCATTTAGCTATGGTTGAAAAAGTAAAAAGAAAGAAAAGAAACCAAATAGAGGTAGGGGAGAGAAATGGTATGCAGCATCAAGAAACCTGGCAAGGTTAGCATTCAGAGTCTTCAAAATACAGAAAGCAAAGAGAAAACATATTGTTATCCATAATAATAATAAGACAAAAAACAAGAAGAATTATATGATCAAAACTAAACCTAATAAGATGTCAACTAAAGAGCTAAAGCTTAAATCTAAATTAAAGAAATCACATGATGACCTCAAGTTTTGACAATCTCACAAGTGCTTTCATTTGAGTTTTATTATGTTTCTGCTTTTATAAATCAGCAACTTCCATAATCTCCATCATTGTTGCTTGCAATTCTAAAACCTGGAAAAATTACCAAATAAGTATTGACCGTGGAATTGGTCTTACAAAGGCATATGAAAAGGTTCCGTAACAACAGTCAAGGAAGTAAATCAATTCAACAGAAGAATCAACAGGAAAGAGGACAATGATAGAAAGAGTTTATATAACTTGTGAACAAAAAATAGGTAAAAAATTCGCAAATAGCTCTTAGTAGATCAGAGAATATAATATAACAATTGGTAGCATGTTTAAATTGGAGAACAATTCTTATGATTAGTATTATAAGGAATACCTACATCATTAAATCATAAACAATTTAGTAAGACAAACTATTGTAGCACAGTCCATAACACCGGTGTTAAGAATCTAACAAGTGAAAAGAGTGGAAAAATTTAGCTTGTTACTCATGGAGGATAATTAAGACTCAAACTTCTTCAGGTGAAGAGAGAGCATTCTGTATTTATGTATCACATAATATTAAAAGTAACAATTTCGGTTCACTTGCTGTTGCACAATTTGTATTTTATCTCTAAATAGGCACTCTTTCAGTAACAAATGAATATTCCTTCTTTGGATTTATCTAGATAATAATTAACAATATTGTCACAAAAATAAAAAATAAAAAAAATGCACAAACTCATTTTACAACAATGCATTAACAGACTTCAGAAAAAAAAAGAAAGGCAGAACTATCTCCTATATAATTAAATACATTTACATTCGAGGTGCACATAACTCAAAACCTATTGTCAAGTTTCAAGAAATATTTCTAGTGCATAAAATACTTTCAATGAGTTAATACCAGCAAATAGAATAACATGGCGCAGGGATCTAGCTGCAATAAAAGATCATGGGATAGCAATGCAATTTTCCACTTGCAAGGAGGCATTTGTTATTATTTAAACTAAGTGATAGACGTTAAGTGTAAATGATTGCACAAGGAAACAACACGTGAAATATTTTTTTTCACAACATAGTTTATATAGTTGACCAAAAATCAATCTAAACATCTTTCTATTTTGCACCTCTCTACAATTCCCTTGAAGACCAACATAGTTTGCAGGTGTATTTTTCTTTTCCTTTTAAGGTAAAGAAAGTATTTTATGACATAATATTTAAGTAGATTGTGTTGCAAATGCAAAGTGATTATATCAGCCTTAAAAAGAGTAGTTACTTGATCAAAAGAATAGATGAAGAGTACATGCAGGAAAAAAACTCATAGGAATATATTCAAGGACTTTGGAGATAGCAAGAGATGCAGCCTTCCCTTCAACAAAAAGGAAAAAGATTGATACCCCAATAACTTTATGATAGAACATCCATGGCACTGTCTGATCAAAACCAGTTGATGTACCTGTTATAACACATATCTGCAAATAATGAAGCAAAATAAAGTCAGATCATGAACAATGATTTAAACGGCAGTGCACTTGATAGGAAATAATTTGATTATGGGATGCCAAGAATTTAAGTCTACATTTAAATGTCCAAGTATGTGTGTGTGTGTGTGTATTTAAGGGTTGAAAGATTTGTTTCCCTATGAAAACATTCTTTCAACTCTTATTATGGAGTAAATATAGTGGCCAACGTTATGATTATGCAATGAATATGCAATAAAAACTCCACAGTATGTAATGAGCTTAAACTTAATTAATAACATACTCATGTTAGCCATCATTGACTACTGTTCCTAACTGCTATTATGAATCCATTAGTCTTCATCACCAAATCTTTAAACACAACCATGTTTGAAGCATAATCTTCGTTTAATGTTATAAAAGATATAATAGCATGACAAACAACTGGACCTTAGACTCTGTCCAGGAGGTAAACATCAATTTTAAAAGGTTTGGGAAGCTTCTAATACAGGGATTCTAAGGAATTATAGTAAAGGCCATATTTTTTAAACATATCTAATTCCACATAAATGTAAAATAATATTGACTCTTTTGTTGGATTTCCATCTAATTATTGGAAGTAGCTTTTTCCCAAAATTAGACCTCCTAAACATTCAAAAGAATACAGTGATCTTGCATTTTTTAACTTTAAATATAACAAGGAGACAAAATATGAACAAATGAAACCAATTTATCCAATAAGACAGTAAATTACCAACTAAATTAGGACATCGTTCATCCCCATACATTCCAATATGAAGATTCAGTTTGAATTAGATCACCATAAAAACCCAACTTAAATAACAAAAACAATCAGATCATTCCCTACCAAAAAATAAAAATAAAAAAGAAAGAAAGAAAAAGAATGGGCAAAAAACAGTTCAACTTTGAGCTTAGAATCCTCGACTTCATTTCTTTCTTTGCTTCAGTTTGTAATCCCTGCTAGTTACTTGCTCGTTCGCTGGAAACACTAAGAACACCTCGCCTTCCATACAAAATCCCTCCCCAGTCAGCCTCTGCCATTCACAGGTCAAAGTTCGAAGTCGGAATTACCAACACCTTCGTCCTCCAATACCCGGGAACACTGGCTGCATCTATCTCTCATCGTAGTTGCTTCAGTCCAAATGTCTTTTTCCTTAAACAGGCTGAATTAAGTTCACAACTCTAAGGTCCACAATTTTCAAAGGGAATACGGAATCCAATGATAATTTTTAGCAATAACTCAAAATTTAAGTTCCCAACATAACAGCAGAAAGAAAATATCACCTTTACATTTCTTGATTTTCGAAGCACTTAAACAGCACTCTGGTAGAATTTTTCATCTTTCAACTCAGCATTTTCTGCTGCTGCTTCATCTAGTTCATCAGATTGGCTTTCACTATCACTTTTGAGTTAGATTTCTTCATCACCGTGAGCTTTAAACAATAATTTTCCTCAACACGAGAGCAAAAAGAAAAAGAATAGGGAAGGGAGAGACTGTAAAAGGCTTAAACGTGCGAGACAAGTGGACCATTGAACTAACAAAAGAGATATTTAGTAAACAGTACAAAACTTGTTAATGAACAGTAAGAATCGGAGAGGTCTAAAACGAAGTCAGAATCGGAGAGGTCTAAAACGAAGTCTTCTGAATGAACAGCTGAGGCAAGCAAGATATTTGCCCATATGTACAGTACAGTGAGAAAAAGAACGAGAAAACGTATTTGAGAAGCTACCCAACAGTCATATCCCACTTCCTCAGTCAACAATTGTTGCCCTTTTTTGTCTATACACGAATTATCAAATGAACAGTGAAATGTGAAGCAAAACTCATAGATGAACAGTAAAGTAGCATTCTCTCGGGATTATTTAATGAACAGTAAAAAACCAGTTAGTAAATAGTAGATGAACTCTTCAGGTGTGAAAAGGAAGGTTACAAAAATGAATGGTGAAACCCAAAGTGCCTCTCATATATATACTAGTCTTATGCCCCGTGCAATGCACAAGTTGTATTATTTTGAAGGTAATGCTAGCGTGTCGAATATTTATGAAATTATTTAGAAAGTTCAGTAAATTCTCACTTAAATCTTAGGCAATTACTAATTCTTAGTATTTGGACATATGCTTTGTAAATGAAATTCATGGCTGAATTCACCCTAAATAATATATTCCTAAATGTCATTATGCCGGTGTGAGATTCTTCTTGGGCTGGAAATTTTCTTGTGCACATGAACTAAGGTACATATTTGATATTTTAGTCACAGAAGTTGATACATATAAAACCACACATTAATATGAACATGGGATTGGATATACACGGAATCAAAATAAGCACGTCTAATGAAATAACTTTGTACATCCAACCAGTATGGCATGCAAAATATTTGTGGACAGATTAGCTTCATATACTCATACATAATCAATACACATAAAATACCAGTAACTAAATGCAAAAAAATAGGAAATAATGCTTTATGCAACAAAGAGTATTTATAATGCGGAAGATATATCTCCAAGGCATGGCAGTGAAGTCAAAAAAATTATGAAGGAGATATCAATGCTTTTAAACTAATTTCAATAACAAGAAAACAGCTCGTAGAAAGTTGAACAATTACAAGAACAATAGTGGGCCTGCAATCACGTTGAAGGTTGCGAACCAAGAGGCTTGCGGGAAGGTCTCTTTCACGACTCTTGTAGCAGCCTCTTAGGCTTGAGCTTTCGATGCCTTCTGTTGTACCATCTCAATATTGTGCATCACTATCCCTTTCACTTCTGTTATTTAAGCTTTCAATTTGGACGAGTTACTTACTTCTTCTGGTTGGTTCATACACTGAAGATGAAATTCACCAAATCATCATTAATGAATCTACCTTTAAAAGCAATTTCATCATAAAATTATTCTAAAATATCTTCATGGGACCAACTTGGGCAATAAAGCAGATGGGACCTAGGAGGAAAGAGAGTCATACTGTGTAAGAAGCTGCAAGAATATTATCTACAGAGAACATCTTACCATATGCCCTTGCCATTTTTTTTAATCTCAACAATTTGTTTTTTTTTTGAGCTTGTAAACCCTGTATTTCCCTCTTGATATCTTGGATGGATTCATCAAGCATCCTCTTATTCTTTCGCATGAGCTCTAAAAAATATAATGTAGAGTTTGAAATGAGAAAGTGGATTACCCAGAATATTGGTGAAATTAATCATGGTACATAGATTTGAAAATAATATCTCCTTGCCTCAGTTCTGATCACAATATTGGGTATGTCAAAACATTTAGAATATCAAAATTACTGTAGTCGCATAAAATGGAACTCGTGAAATAATGGGATTGTGTTTATTTTGAAAATAATTTCTATAAATAATAGACATAGGATGAAAGTAATACAAATAATTTACAAGAATTTCTTCAAGATTCTGAGAAGAATATGCATGGACAAGTTTCCCCTTCTCCCATCTCATATACTATTAGATATAAAAATCAAAGAGGGAAAAATTATATACCATGCAATCAAAATAGTTACAATTGAGAAGTAAAAGAAATTGATGCTAATGATAGAGTTGCAAGCGATTTGGAGTGAAATCCCACAGCTTTTAATAAGACATCAGTAATATTTGGACAAATTGCAATGACAAACAGCAGTGGTACGTGATTTCAAAGTTCTTCCGAAAACCGGGTGCTTGTTGAACCAATCCAATGTCATTCAAATTTTGCTTAGGCATAGCTAATCCCATATATTCAACATAACAGTCATTCAAAAAGAGGATATAAAAAAAGCTTATTTAGGCATAGCTATTAACAAAAGAACAATCATAAGCTAATCATAGATAACCTTTAAAGATGATCAACATATAATAAGAGTTATAAAAGAATCAAAATGAACAACTAAGGTGATGTTTGGTATGAGAGAAAGGTGGGTTCAACAGAAAAAGAGAGAGAATTTTCTAAGCAATGTTAAAAAAATTATTTTCCATCTTTTGATCGATATGGAGGAGGATAAGAGGGAAATAATCTTTTTTGGCTTTCTTTCAACGTATGCTGTTAAAAAAAAAAGGGTATATCTCACTTAAATAAAAGAAAAAGAAAAATGCTTTCTAGCTTCTTTCCATTCTTTAAAGCCTTCCTCTCTAGTCAACAAGGGAAAGCTAATTCCCTAAGAGCCTTCCACTCTCCATTTTCCATTCGATGCAACTTTTCTCGTACAGTAGCCTAAGCAAATATGCAGATTGATTCCAGATCACTATTCAACAGCTATTAGCCAAGGCACAAGTTTTATCACCAAAATTTGGTGAGCTAGTGATACTATAATCGAGCATCACAAAAATATCCCCCAGTGCTTCTTGTTCATCTAAGAGGTTGTTAACATAATAAAGATAAACAACATTATGATTAAGAGATGTTAATTAAGTTATGATGTCGATTTTAAAATGCATCAACAGGTCAAGTTCGAAAGAGTACATGCATACAAACAAGATATGACTAAAAGCAACCGTGTTGCATGTATTTGAAGATAAAATTATCAGCTTAAAATCTTGTAAAAAAGTAAAAAATGAAATATGACATTGATAGGTACAAACTGATCATCCAAACACCAGAGTCTCAAATATGAATGCAGTTTCATTAGTCTCCAAGGTCCAGAGTATACCTCGTTTGATTCATTTATGAAGAAGTACGTAGTAGAAACTTGTATAGAAATTGTATAGGAGGTATGCTACTGATCAAAGAGAGAATATTCGCCAAATAAAATTATTTCAAAACACAAGAATGACTTGATGTCCACAACATAAGAGTTTTAATATAGTTTTTAGTAAACATTATCAGTTGCATCTAAGAGGCGAAAATCTTTGTCAACCAATTGATTTAAATCATTATGTGATTCACTTCGTATGCAGCAGGTATGAAGACAAACTTTGATTAAGATTTGAGTGACATACCAAACAACCTATTCTTTGATCAAATGCAACACCAGAACTAGCAATAACTAAGTACTCTCAACTGGAAGAAATTATCGAATGGTTGTGAACAGTAACATAAATCCTATTGACTCTCCATCTTCTTTGAGTCATTTGCCTCTTTGGCTACTTTGGATATCTTTCTGCATATTTGAGAATGTAATTGCAAGATCATCTTTTTGCTTCTTTATGAATTATATAAGTTACCATTCAAAGAACAAACATCCTCAAAATCTAATATTATTGCCTAAGAAACTCTGTTACTTTGCTAATTCATGAATAATTGGGTAGAGTATAGGTGGAAAGTTTGGAAAAGCAGTTGAAGCAAAGTTAATTGGACTTTATCCATATACACTTTTGAGCCCTATCTAGCCAAAAATTCAAGTAAAAACAGAATAATGGTTGCAGAGGCATGCGGAATAGAACTATCATACCTTGAAGTAGTTTTCCACGTACGATGCATAAATGAAAAGGATGTATTCAAGGCTGGTGCAAGTCCTAGAGCAGCTCCATTCTCCATTAGCAATGGTCTTATATATGTTGGAAATCCCGAATTGATTTGGAATAAAAGAGATTATTGAAGATTTTATTCTCCTTAGATAGAATATTGTATATTCATTAGAGATTTGCTTTCCTTTCTCTTATTTCTTCTTTCTTCTATAAATAGGACACATGTATTGTTCATTGTTAATATGAAAAATATCTTATTCCCGTTTTTCAACTTAATGGTATCAGGGTCATTCCAATGACAGAAACTGCCACCACCAACAGAGGGTCAATGACATCCGAATCTTTCAATGAACGAACGGAGGCTACCTCTGCCGTGAGTGGAGGAATTGAAGGTTCATCCTTTCAATTCACGGTAGAAAAATTGGATGGACGAAATTACAGGGAATGGGCGCAATCTATCAAATTGATTATCGATGGAAAAGCCAAACTTGGGTACCTGACTGGAGAGACTAAGATGCCTGCCTCAACCGACACAGTTCTCCTTCAGAAGTAGAGATCGGAGAACTCCATGGTGACTGCGTGGCTCATCAACTCCATGAGGCCCACAATTGGAAAGACATACCTGTTTCTACCCACTGCAAAAGATGTTTGGGAAGCTGTGAAAGAGACTTATTCGGATTCTGAAAACTCCTCCCAGATTTTTAAAATTAAATCGAAGCTGTGGCAAACCAAGCAGGGAGAACCAGATGTAATCGACTACTACCTTGAGATGACTGCGCTCTGGCAAGAACTCGATCTGAGTTCGGAAGAGAAGTGGAAGTGCCCTGAAGACTGCGCCTGTTACCGAAAAAAGCTGGAAAATGAGAGAGTTTTTGAATTCCTCGTTGGGCTTCACCGTGACCTCGACGATGTTAGAGGTCGAATCCTCGGTCGACAGCCACTACCATCACCGCGAGAGGTGTTCACGGAGGTAAGGCGAGAGGAGAACCGGCGGAAGGTGATGATGAATGGAAGCAGCGTGTTCGACTCTGCAACGTCGGGGATCGAAAGCTCAGGAATGGGTGTGAAAGGGATTGGGCCTCCAAATAATGGGCCTCCAAACTTTAAAATGGATCTATCAAAAATTCAAAACGAGGCTACAGCTAATGTTGGGCTCAATTTTACTAATGTTGGGCCTGGAGGAATGGGCTTATATAAAAAGGGGTCAGCAGTTGGGTTAGGCTAAAAACAAAAGGGTCGACCCTGGTGTGTACACTGTCGTAAGCCAGGACATAAGGAAGACACATGCTGGGACTTACACAGAAAGCCGACCGATTGGAAATCGAGGCAAATAATAGAAATCGTAGTTATCAAGCATCTGTTAATTATTCTACAGAAAATACCCAAGGTTCCAGTAGTGCTTTTAATCCCGAGCAGATGGAGCAACTTTACAAAATGTTTGCTACTCTCCAACCGTCAAGCCAAAACTCCACAAATAATCCTTCAAGTTCACTCACCCACAGAGGTAACTTTTTGAAAGCTTTAAAATCCATCACTCAGACTAAAACGCCATGGATCATTGACTCGGGAGCATCTGATCATATGACGAATTCCTACCACTTATTCTCTTCGTACTCAACATGTGCTGGCAATCTTAAAGTTAAGATTGCAGATGGTTCTCTATCTACTGTCGCAGGAAAAGGGAGTATTCAAATTTCCGACTCTATAACTTTAGAACCTGTTCTTCATGTTCCAAATTTATCATGCAATTTACTATCCATAAGCCAGTTAATAAAAACCTCTAACTGCTCTGCTAAATTTCTTCCATCTTACTATGTTTTTCAGGACCAATCATCGGGGAAGACGATTGGCAGTGCTAAGGAAAGTGAAGGACTCTACTACTTTGAAAAGGCTGATGTGAGTAAACACTATCAAATTAAAGTTTGTGATTCTGCGTCTGTCCTTAGAAATAGTGAAATTATGTTATGGCACCTTAGAATGGGTCATCCCAACTTTCAATACTTGAAACATGTCTTTCCTTCTATTTTTTTGAATAAAAAATCAGTCAATCTTCAATGTGAAATTTGTGAACTTGCAAAATATCAACGTACGACATTCTCAAAATCCACATACAAACCATCAAAGCCTTTTACCATGATTCATAGTGATGTATGGGGGCCTTCACGTGTCCCAAACCACATGCAAAATGGTTTGTTACATTCATCGACGATCATACTCGAATTTGTTGGGTATATTTATTAAAAGAAAAATCCGATGTTCGGTCCGTGTTCATAAACTTCCACTCTATGATTCAAACACAAATTCAAATTTTACACAGCGACAATGGCACGGAATATTTCAATAACATCATGGGAAATTTCTTGCATTCTCATGGCATAATTCATCAAAGCACTTGCGTCAACACTCCCCAACAAAATGGGATTGCCGAACGAAAAAATAGACATCTTCTAGAAGTTGCTCGTGCCCTAATGTTTACTACGAACATGCCAAAAATATTCTGGGGGGATGCGGTCCTTACATCCACCTATCTAATCAACCGAATGCCTAGTCGTGTCCTAAACTTTGCAACACCTCTCCAAAAATTTCAAAAATATTTCCCAAATTCTCGCCTCCACTCTAATCTTCCCCTAAGAGTGTTTGGGTGCACCGCATTCGTACATGTTCACCCCAATCACAGAAGTAAACTTGATCCACGTGCAATTAAATGTGTCCTGATCGGATATTCTCCTACTCAAAAGGCTACAAATGTTATGATCCTTCCACTAAACGGACCTTTGTAAGCCTTGATGTAACTTTCTTCCAGAATGCCCCATATTTTACAACCACCGATCTTCAGGGGGATATCTCACATGAAGATCGGTTCCTCGACCTCAGCCTCTCAACTCCTGAACATACGTCACATATCCCATCAATTAATACGCCACCAACTAAAATACCGCTACCAGAAAGAAACTTGAATCTAGGGGAGAGGTAGAAAAATAAAACGATAAGGAAATACTAGTTTACTCCAGAAAGCAAAAATCAAAGTACTCAGAGAATCTCACATCTGAAGCACCAAAAGAGTCAGAACCGATGGTAGCTCCAGAACCCCAAAAAGCATCAGAAATTTCTGATGTTGATTTACCCATTGCTCTCAGAAAACAAAAACGGTTATGTACACTTCATCCTATTTCAAAATACATGTCCTATAATGCCCTATCTGTAGGATTTCGTGCTTTTACATCTCATCTTGACAGGACAGTGATTCCGAAAAATATTCACGAAGCCTTAGAACTTCCTAAATGGAGAGAAGCAGTGTTGGAAGAAATGCAAGCATTAGAAAAAAATGAAACTTGGGAAGTGATGAACTTACCACAGGGAAAGAAACCCGTTGGATGTAAATGGGTCTTCAACTTGAAATACAAAGCCGATGGGACAGTGGAAAGGTATAAAGCTCGGTTGGTTGCAAAAGGATATACACAAACTTGCGGTATTGACTACATAGAAGCATTTGCACCAGTAGCAAAGCTTAACACTATTCGGGTTCTTCTATCACTAGCAGCAAATTTGGATTGGCCACTTCAACAACTCGATATTAAAAATGCATTCCTAAATAGGGAATTGGAAGAAGAAGTATTCATGACATTACGACCAGGCTTTTGTAAGGAAAATGAAAGAAACCGAGTATGTAAACTAAAGAAGTCTTTATATGGACTAAAACAGTCACCGAGAGCATGGTTTGATAGATTTGCAAAAGTGTAGAAAAGTCAAGGATATTACCAAGGACAATCAGATCATACAATGTTTCTTTGAGATTTTGAAGACGGTACTAAAACGATTCTGATCGTTTATGTCGATGACATTATTTTGACAGGTGATAATATAGCAGAAATGGAGAAATTAAAGAAAAACCTTGCCACTGAATTTGAAGTAAAAGATCTGGGACCAATGAGATACTTCTTAGGAATGGAAATCGCCAGATCAAGACAAGGGATCAACGTATCACAACGAAAATATGTTCTTGATCTTCTAATTGAAACTGGGATGCTTGGATGTAAACCAAGTGATACTCCTGTAGATGTGGGGAAAAAGGATGAAGATGGAGAAATGTCGGTAGAAGTCGATAGATATCAAAGACTTGTGGGAAAGCTAATCTACCTATCACACACTAGACCCGACATCGCATTTGCTGTTAGTCAGGTTAGCCAACACATGCATTCCCCAAAGGAAAGTCATCTAGAGGCTGTATATAAGATACTTAGGTATCTCAAGGGCTCTTCAGGGAAAGGGCTACTCTTCAAAAGGGGTGAAAGAAAAGAGGTCGAAATTTACACAGATGCAGATTGGGCAGGATCAATTGGTGATAGGAGGTCAACTACTGGTTATTGTACTTTTGTGTGGGGAAATCTGGTGACTTGGAGAAGCAAGAAGCAGAATGTAGTAGCAAGAAGCAGTGCTGAAGCTGAGTTCAAAGTTGTTGCACAAGGAATGTGTGAAGCATTGTGGTTAAAAAAGCTCCTGGAAGAATTACATATCACAATGAAATTGCCAATCAAACTCTATTGTGACAATAAAGCAGCGATCAATATTTCTCTTAATCCAGTTCAACATGATCGAACCAAGCATGTAGAGGTGGACAGACACTTTATTAAAGAAAAAGTTGAAGAAGGAACTATTTGTATGACATATGTCCCAACGCAAACACAAATTGCAGATGTTTTCACCAAAGGACTACCAAAACAGAAGTTCGATGATTTCATCTCCAAGTTGGATATGATCAACATTTATGATCCAACTTCAAGGAGAGTGTTGGAAATCCCGAATTGATTTGGAATAAAAGAGATTATTGAAGATTTTATTCTCCTTAGATAGAATATTGTACTTAGATAGAATATTGTGTATTCATTAGAGATTTGCTTTCCTTTCTCTTATTTCTTCTTTCTTCTATAAATAGGACACATGTATTGTTCATTGTTAATATGAAAAATATCTTATTCCTGTTTTTCAACTTCAATATATAAAGAACATTTACCTTGTGGGGGAACCTGAAACAAGATGACAACATAAAACCACTTAGTTGCCTAAACATCACTATACAAAAAATAAATAAATACGTTCTTAACTGCAATGAGAAATTGTTAGATTACCCATCTTCTAATTGCTAAAACAATTTCTTTTACAGCTTCCACAAACTATTCGACCGTAAGAGAAGGCATGCACATACGCTCTGTACCCATCCTCAATCGAAGCATTTTCGTCTGCATGAACAAGTAAAATATTACCATCATATTTTTTATACGCTTTCAAACCTTCAAACAACCCCTACAAGTTATTTTTCAAATATGAATTCAGCAAAAGTGAAGCAAATCTGATGTAAATAAGCTATAAACACAATGAAAGAACCACCACAACTAAAATTAGTAAAAGAGAAAAACTTAAATGTACATAGTTTGAAATCCTTGCAAATGGGCTCAACTCAATGTTCCCAAAAAGTTATAATTCTCATTAAAAATGTTTTCACCTTGAGAACATTTAATAATATACATATAATACGTGTTCATCAAGATGAAAATGAAATTAGATTGCCGTAAAAGTGACTAAATTAGTGCGAGAAATCAAAATAATTGTGGATAATATAGAGATCGCATAAATAATAGTATACACTAAAAGCAAGAAAGAAAAATTACAGAAACAAATTTGAGCGATTTGATAAAATTAAAATCTTGAATTTTGATCTAAAATAGAAAAAAGTTGTAGAGTAGAAGCATCCACAGCCCAACTCTTTAACTTCACAATCCCTATCTTTTCCGGCTCCTGACATATTGGTCATAGAGATAAATTATTAAATATAAGAAAATTGATCGAAGATAAGAAGAATGCTTCCATCAACCTATGTTGCACCATACAATAACTGAATTAAAAAAACTTGACCATGAGGATCAAAAGCTAACAAACATGCTAGATGTTAGGCAACAACCACTGGTGGTCAACAATAAACAATAGTATATTTTATAGAAATGGATACAAACTCATGAATTTAGTAAAAAATCTACGTTCGAGACAAGATAAAAATACATGTGATGAACTTATCTCAACAGAAGCAGTGATAGACGTGAACAGATTGTAGAAGTTTATTTGCATATTATTTGTAAAGAGCAATTGTTTCAGACTATCGGTAGGGACCGTACATCTCACCAACGTAGGCTTGCACATCAAATCCGCAATGTTTAAAAAATAAAAATTTGACAAATAAACAAAAAGAAGACAAATTTTGAAAAATAAACAAAATGGTTACACAAATCTTCATCCCAATCGAGAGCCAGCCAAGAAGATCACGAATCATTGCTTCATCGAACTCCTTGGGTGGTCTTTCTAAGTCAATGTCTTCAATTTGAAGAACAAATTTCCGCCTTTGGACTTGGCAAACAAGTAGTTGAATAGCGCAATTGGGGGGGTGGTAGGCGACGGAGGTGGGGTGGAAGAGAGGGATGCCCAATTTCTATTAGCATTTGAGAGAACTGTAGAAGTGGCAAGCTTTTCTTGTGTTCTTTTTAGAAAGAGATTTATGAACAGTAGAGAACCAGTTGAGAACAGTAAATATCCACTTTCAACTTAAAAATCAGGGCTACAAAAATGAACAGTGATTTTAGGATTGTCTCTTTTAAGAGAAGAGATAGACTAGTTTTTGGCCCATGCAATGCACAGGTTTTATGATACTGAAGGCAATGTTAGCATCATGAATGTTAAGAGTTAACGAGAGATTGTATTTCAAAATTTCTATACATATTTGTATTAAAGAAATGATATTTTATAAAGATATAAGGATCAATCAAAAATTTGAACGAAGAGGAAGAAGTAAATAATGTATGCAAAAGGCCTAAGAGGAAAGTTCAATAAACTTTGTTAGAAAAACTATTTAACCATTTATGTCTTGAGTGTTCCATTTGCAATGCACCTTTCTTACAAGTTAACATTGTTTAAAATTTGATTTACTAAACTTACTTCTAATTGACCTTCTGCATAATCTTCTCCATGAAATCTATTATTATACCACTACTAGCATCTATACTCAAGTGCTTAATTCTATCTCAAGGGTGCAATTTTTGAACATTTACTCTTAAAAGTCTTTGATCTCCTTGGTTTGATGGAAAGTATGATCCACAAAATGTTACACTCTAATAGTTTTGTTGTTCTTGGATGAAAGCAAAAATATATTAATCAAATGTCAACAAAGAAATCATCAGGCTAGTTGGGAAGGGCAACTTCACCTCATATCTACAACTATGGACAGCATGTAAATAATTATTCATTTTTCTCGTGACATGAACATAAAATTTATCCTTCTTTCTGTAAAATAAAGGCACACCATCATTAGTGGTTCTTGCACCAATTTTATGGTATAGACTCATTGCTTACTATAAATGGTTGGAAGATCAACACAAGCTTCGCATCGTTATGCCAATGTATTGAAGAGGCTCAACCTTATTGGCTTTATCATGAACCTAAAAATTAGAGTAAACATAACTATATTGATAAATGGAACTATAGATATTCCAAAAAGATTGTCATAGTAAAAAGGAAATTTAATTTGTTATAACTGTAAAACTTTAACTTTGTCTTCATCGAAGAGGCCAAATTAAACCTAGAGAACAAGTTAAAAGGAAAAATGATGTAGAATAAATTGAGAAGTAGCAAGAAAGAGAAGAAGAGGGATCACAGAGGGAAAAGAGGGAGAAGGAGGAGAGAACGAGGGAAGACAGGAGTATTCTGCAACAACCAAATAATTTTTCATTTATCAAAACTAAACTTTCAATCCCAATTACAATAATATAAATAACAAAACAATAAACTTGGGCTTGGGCCAAACCCATATACAACCCCAATGAGACATAAAACCTGAAATAAATAAAATAAAAGATAAAATGGCCCAACAATTGGCCCGATAAGAATGATGTCTGCATCAACTCTTCCGAGGTCCGTCAAGGAGGTAGAACACAAAAGGCTGCTGTCAATCTCCTAGCCACAAATTGAGTGGTTGAGCAAACTTCTTTCGGCGTCTATAGACACGCAAGGGTGGTGGTCCGATAAGGGAAGATCTTGTTAACTCCTATAATGCTCCAACAAATCAGGATCAAGCTGTTGAAGTGTCTCTTTGGAGATTCAAGTACAATCAGAAGCAGGACGGCCCTCCCAATGAACAAGGAAGCGCTGAATGTCTCCATTCTTGATTAATATGATCTGTGTATCTAGAATATCATCAATTTTATCTCTACGTGCTGCAGCAGGTGGAATTGGGGCAGAGATAACATATTCAGGATGAGGGTCCAGAAATGGAGGTGTGAAAGGATCATCAGCGGGGTGAAATTGGCCTTTGTTAACAACTAAGTCTTCAACATTAAAGGTAGGATGATAGCCAAAGTGTGATGGTAAGTCAATGACATATGCATTTGGACCAACACGCTTTAAAATTTTAAAAGGACCAGCACTACAAGCTTGTAATTTGGAAGCAGGCCCAGATGGATGCCGTTCCGGTCTAATTCGAATCATAACATAATCTCCAACATTAAATTCAACGTGGCGTTTGTGCAAATCAGCTCGAAGTTTATATGATGCATTACTCGCTTCTAGCTGTTTATTAATCTCAATATACAAGTCACGCAGATGTTGTGCAAAAGAGTCAGCTGACACAGACACACTAACATGTGGAGACATGGAAATAAGGTCTAACGGCTTCCTAGGCTCAAAGCCACGAAGAACCTCAAAAGGATTCATACATACTGACCGATTCACTGAACTGTTATATGCAAGTTGGGCAGTAGGAAGAATTAAGTCCCAATTCCTAAGATTTTTCTGGACTAGACACCTTAATAGATTACCAAGACTGCGGTTAACAACTTCAGTTTGACCGTCCGTTTGTGGGTGATATGCAGTAGAGAATTTCAGTTTAGTGTCAACCATACTCCATAGGGCTCGCCAAAAATGACTAGTTAAACGCATATCCCTATCTGAGACAATGGTCTTAGGGAGGCCATATAGCTTGACGATCTCATGAAAGTATAACTTAGCCTCCTTAGATGCATCAGAAGTTTTGTTACATGGAATAAAGTGTGCCATCTTCGAGAAGCGATCTACGACAACGAAAATGGAGTCGTGTTTCTTTGGAGTACATGGCAACCCTAGCACAAAATCCATACTAACGTTTTGTCAAGGACAACTAGGGACAGGGAGAGGCGTATAGAGGCCTGTGTTCTACCTCTTTTGCTTAGAATGCTGATAGGTGTTACATGTGCCAACGATCTTGGCCACATCTGTCTTTAAACTGGGCAATAGAATTGACGTTCAATCTCCTCTATGGTCTTATCACGCCCAAAATGTCTAGCCAACCCACCAGCATGACTTTCCCACACTATAAAGTCTCGCACTGAGGTCCTCGAAATGCGCAACTTATTGGATCTAAAAAGATAGCCCTCCTCCGAACGGAAACCATCAGTGGTGTCCAACTCCCCATTTTGCAAAGCAAGAAAAATGTCTTTGAAATCGGGCCATGACTCGTACTCTTCCTTAAGCCTTTCAAACTATATGACCTTAACACTCATGACGGACAACAAAGAGATGTGACGGCTTAAAACGTCAGCAGCTCGATTTTTAGCACCCTTTTTATGCTTTAAGACAAGAGAATAGACCTGCAAATATTCGATCCAGTGGCTATGCCTAGAATTCAATCGCCTCTAGGAATTAAGGAAACGAAGGGCCTCATGGTCTGAAAAGAGGACAAATTCGTGGGGTAATAAGTAATGACGCCAATAGGTTTGTACAACTGCGTACAACTTCTTATCATAAGTTGAGTACTGTTGCTTAGCATCATTTAGTTTCTCATTAAAATAAGCAATAGGATGGCGTTCTTGACTCAAGACTCCACATATTCCTACCCCCGACACATAACATTCGACCTTAAAAACTTTCGAAAAATCTGGGAGTCGCATAACAGGAGCCTCTGTCATTCGCTCTTTGATTAACTGAAATGTTTTAGCTGCTTACTGCGTCCAATGAAATTCTCCTCTCTTCATACACTGTGATAGGAGCCATGATCGTACTAAATCCCTTGATGAAACGACAATAAAATGTAGCTAAACCATGAAAACTCCTAACATCATGTATGTTCTTGGGGTCAGGCCAATCATCAATTGCCTGAATCTTCGCAGGATTAGCAGATACTCCCGTAGCGGAAACAATGAACCCGAGAAACACAACTCTATTCGTGAAGAAAGAACATTTCTTCACATTGGCATACAAACTTGTT